ATATATAAGCGTGTCCATGACAGGAGTACCCAGGGATGCTGCTATGTTATATGATTTCTATTCTCAGGTTTCTGAGAAGCATCCATGCTGATTCCTGTAGTGGCTGCACCCACTCACACTCCCAGCAACGGGATCGTGGTTCTTCTTTCCCTAAATCCTCGCTGGAATTTGCTGGTATTTGTTTTCTTGGTGATAGCCATTCAGATGGGTATGAGAAAGAATCTCAAAATCATTTTAATTTCCATTTCCTTGATGGCTCAGGCTGTCGAGCACCTTTTCAAGTGTTTATTGGCCACTTGTGTTTCTTTGGAGAACTCTCTATTTAGCTCATGGGTCCATTTATTGATCGAGTGATTTGTCTATCTATTTTGTTCTGTTCTTTATGCAGTCTGGATAATAATCCCATTTGATGGGTAGTCGGTGAAGATTTTCAGCAACATCTCTTTGCTCTGATGATTGTCTCCTTGCTGTGCAGAGATTTTTTAATGCCATAACGATCTCAACAGTCAGTTTTTGGGATTATTTCCTGGACTCGGAGTCCCTTTCGGAAAGTCCTGGTCTGTGCCTACGTCTTGAAACATCTTCCTCTAATGGCTTCAGAACTCTAGATCTTAAATTATTTAAGGACTACCGTCTTGTTCCCTTTGCCCATTGTTTCATATATTTAGAATGTTCTGGATGTGTTAGGAGAGTCAGTCAAATCCACTCCTTTACCCCTTGTTGCCTAGAAGCAGAATTCCTAAAGCCTTTAACCATGATGTCCAGCGCCTGGCCCAAACTGGGTATTCCCAGCCCTTTAAGCATGGGCTGACTATAAAGAATGAGGCTCTCTTGACACAGCAGACTTGAGCCTGGGCCCCTTTCCAGTGCCCTTCTGGCTGCCTGTCCCATCATCTGCCCAGGGTCAGGAGAGTTGACTGCTATGTCAGCTTCACTGAGACTCAGGAAATGGTGACATGACCCCTGAGGTTTCGTGACAGTTCCTGCCTTCTGTCATATTCAAAGGGAGTGACAGAGACTGAGGCAGCTCTTTCCTGGTGCTTGACACTCCCGTCTGGCCACCTGCCCGTCACCCAAGATTACCAACTCAGTGTGCAGGTTGCCCTTCCCTTGCCTATTGGCAGTCAGTGTGTGTGTCGCTTCTTTGGGAGATTGCCGGCTCCTCATGCAAGAAGATCAGGTCTTAGTCAGCTTTATAACCAACCCTGGGCAGCTGGCACCAGGTCTGGCAGAGGACAGCTTGTGTCTGATTCATCTCTGTACCCCCAGCTCCTAGCATTGGGCACTGAGCATGCTCAATTCATATCCAGGGGAGCGCATGCATGAATGAACACTATCAGGAAGCTGTCTCTCAATGTGAGCCTCTAGCCTGCCCACATAGTGAGTGTCTATGATCTCTGGAGAGGTATTGAGGGAAACTGAGGCAGTAACCAGGTTAGTGGGCAGCTCCAAGATCTTGAGGTCCCCACTCCAGCCCTCTCATAAGTTGCTCCAATGTTTATTTTCTTTCCTGCAACGATAGCGCCCAGGCTCCAGCTCAGGCATTCCCTAATCAACTCGAGCAAGGGTAAATACGAATACCATCTTCGAATCTATTGCTGGCTTTGTGGCCAAAATCCATGCTTCATGCCACCAGGTCTCTTGATACCTCCTCTTCACAGGCAGTGTTTCTGCCTTGGGGTGCTGCCTTCCACACATACAGTGTTCATCGTCACCTACTGCATCCCACGGGGCTTCAGTCAGAAGGGCACACAACCAGAGCCAGCTGCTTCCTGTACCAGTGTTTAGAATAAAGACCATAAAATGAAAAGTTCCACCCAGCTAGCAGAGTGTGAGGGAAAGAGACCCTGCCAAATTCCAGACTGAGCTCTGCAACCTGTCATGTGGATGCGATTTCTAAGGAGGGCTCAAACTTAGATGTACCTCTGCTAATACCCCTAGCTGAATCATTCCCTCTGGTGACCAAAGAGAGCAACTTCCCCCGACCCAAATGCTCTGGGACATTCCAAGGTATAACCTCTCACTGAGACCACACACAGGAAGACTGCAGCTGCAACAGGCTGGGTGGAATGGCCCTGGGGATGTGTCCAGACAGGTCAGGGCCTAGGGCAAAGTCGCAGAAGTGGAAAAATAGCTTTCTCCTCCACAAAAAAGAGGGGCAAACCTTTGTGGGCCCTGGAGGCTGCAGCTATGGGCAGGGTACTAATGCTAAAGTCACCCTGGGAAGACTCAGCAGTGCTCCCAAAGGAGAAGATTGGGTACAGTGGAGTCACACACCTTTAATCCCAAGATTTGGGAGACAGAGGCAGATGGATCTTTATGAGTTCAAGGCCACCCTGGGCTATAAAAGATCAATGCCGAAACAGATCCAGGTATTGGTGGCTCACACCTTTAATCCCAGTACTAGGGAGTCACACCCCTTTAATCCCAGCACTGAAGGAGAATATAAGACCGGAAGAGACAGAGGCTCAGGGCTCAGGCTGCGGTCACCCAGCCTTGGTAGAGGTAAGTCTTCTCCATGGTTTGGCTGTTTTGCTTTTCTGATCTTCAGCTTGAACCCCAATATCTGTCTGCTATTATTCAAGCTACAGTTTGGAGTTTGATGTTATCAACAGTCATTGAATGAGCTCATGGGTGGAAACATGATACCCAAGCATCCTGCTGGCTCTCCGGCACTATTCAGTGTCTGTGTGGTGACTGATACCTAAGACCATCTCCTTCCAGCTGACAGAGCCTGGTAGTGTCCTCATCCAGTATCTCTGGTTTTCCGATGATCTGTGGAGAACTGAAGTCCACTTGGGACCTTGTGTAGGTGGAGACCACTCTTTCATTTCCCAGCTGCCCAGACCAGAAAAACCACACAAAACTGTATTAATTACAACACTGGCCTATTCACTCAGGCTTCTCATTAACTAGCTCTTAGATCTTAAAACAACCCATTTCTATTATTCTATATATCGCCGTGGGGCTGTGGCTTACTGGATAAGGTTCTGGTGACTGTCTCCTTCGGCAGCTACATGACATCTTTCTGATTCCACCTACTCTCTATATCTCTTCCAGGCTGTCTATATTCTGCCCTGCTATAGGCTGAAACAGCTTCTTTATTAATCAATGGTAATAAAACATATTCACAGCATACAGAGGGTAATACCCCACATCAACTGTGTGTTTGCTAATGGGCGTCTGGATCCCCCAGGAGTCAGAGAATGAGGGGGACTGTGTGTTTGTTAATGGGCAGTCTAGATCCTCTGGGAGTCAGAGAATGTGGGGGACTGTGTGTTTGTTAATGGGTAGTCCGGATACCCTAGGAGTCTGAGAATGTGGGGCACTATGTGTTTGTTAATGGGCAGTCTGGATACCCTAGGAGTCTGAGAATGTTTTCCTGGATCCCAGGATGTGTTCACTCCCTTCTAGTTCCACTTCTCCTTCTTGGTTCTGCCTGGGAGCATACCAGTGCGTAAACATCTGGGAAAGACGTCTAGGTGTTTGCTTATGATATTAATCGTACACACACACTTTACCCAAGAGGAATATGAAACTGTCTATACAAAAGATTTCTTCACAGATGTTTGTTGCAGCTTTTCCTAGAGACCTAGAATCTGCCAACAGCCTAGGAGCCCATTAGCAGGTAAATGACCAAACAGTTGTAGCACAGGAACATGTGTGTGTGGCGCTGGGGGGCAGATACCACATGCCAACAAAAAAGGGAGAACTGCTAAACTACATAGCGACCTGGGCAAATCCCCAACACTGCTAAACAAATAAAGCAAATGTAAAAGGAAACAAGAATGTGCTTATCATGTGATTTGGTTTATATGAATGCTAGGAACAAGCCAATCTTATCTATTATTTTAGCAGTCATTAGGATGGTTGCCCCAGGTTAGGGATTACTGAGGAAGACACTCAAGGATACTTTAAATTATTGGGAATAACGGGTGTGGCGTCTGCTGGTGTAGACATCTGTCACAGCTGCCAGGTGGTCCTTTGACAGAAGGGGATCCGCCCCTGCCCCGCCCTACATATCCCGGTGTCCTTCAACTGATTGCTGCCTCCTTCAGAGCACCTAGTACTGAGGGGGCAGAGCTGGGGACACAGTTTTGACGCTTGTGCAGATCTTCGCATATGCTGATGATTGAGTAGCACTGTCTGTGTGGTCTGTCTACTCCTCTCCTCCCTCACCCTTCCTCTGCTCTCTGCCCCTCTCCCCTCCCCTCCCTTAGCCCTTTTGTAATACCCAGGGCTTTCTTTTCTCTGTCCTTTCTGGTTCTGCCCAGGACTCTGGGATCGGGCTGGGGTTCTCTCTTTGCTTTACTCTCAGGGAACCAAACAGTCTCTTGAGGCCTGTACTCTGGTAGGTGAGCACCAACACTGCCCAGACCTACGAGGGAACAGGTTTACCCTAAAGACTGCTCCAGGAGAGGGTGGGGACCAGAGGAATCAGAAGTTGCGATGGTCACACACCTTCCCATGTTCTGGCCCCGTCCATGCACAGTGAGAATGTTATTGGTAGCATCACCTGGGCCCGATCCAGGCAAGAAGAGTGAGCGTCTTACAAGAAACTCAGTTCAGAAGCACATCCAGTGGCCAGCCTCCCTCCTTTCTCCTCCTAAGTCCCCTGCGAGCCCGCCGCCCCACCCCCAACCACAGACACACCGGATTTAATGCCTCGACTGAGAGAATGAGAGGTTCTGTTATTTTTCATGGGAAATTAAACCCGACCCTGCTGTCAGTTAGCTCATGCCTGGGAGGATGGAGGCCTGCTTAGCCAGGCGCTCAGGCCCCGGCTCTGGGCTTGCCAAGGCTCGATGGAGGCACCGAATGGGGGAGGGGCTGGCTGGGGGCCAAGCATGATGTCACCTGCTGAGGTGGGGGTAGGGAAAGCAGGAGAGGTCAGAGGGCCTTCCTCAGGGTGATGGATGGCTGTGAGTGCCGCTCCCTGGCCAACCTCTCGCAGATCCACCTCGCTCACTCAGAGATACTCAGACTCCAGTGTCTTCCAGCTCCCAACTCTACCTCGTGCCCCGCGGAGGACAGCTGGTGGTCGGGGCTGGTGATCATCATCGCTGTCGTGTGTGCCTCCCTGGTGTTTCTGACTGTGCTGGTCATCATTTGCTACAAAGCCATAAAGAGGTGAGTGTCCAGCCACAGCGCCCAGGTGGAGGCCCCTCAGGGAGCCCAGCTCGGCTGGGACATCTTCAACTGCCTGACCACCGTTGTAAATGACAGATGGTCACACCAATCAGGAGCAGGAAGGACAGGAGGGGACCCCCTTCATCCCGACCCCATTTAATGCTTGTCATGATTTTGTTGTAACGGCTACAGTGGTTTCCCTCTTTGTTCTTCTAGCTTTAGCATTTTAGAGGTGATCTCAGGCATACCTTCGCAGCGTTAGGAAGTTTGATTCTGTAAGTTACCCGTCTATTTCAGCCTGATACAAAAACCATGCAAGGGCATTGCCAAACACCGAGAGGGTAGCAGTCATTAATAATATTTTGGAGAAAGGGATTTTCTTCCCTAATTCCCGTGCTCCAGAAGTTACTTCTAATTATTATTATTAGAATAATTGTTAACATTTAATTACTTAATTTTTCCCGATGAATCCAATCGCCTGTGTAATTTCATTTTAATAATGCAAAACCAAAAAGAATGACAAACAAACACTTAAAATGAGGGCGTGGACAGGCACACGGGCCTCAAACCAGGACACCTGGACAGGAGAGGGAGGACAGGAAATCAAGCTGCACAGACCTGGGCTGCACACTCCGGGCCTGAGCTTTTTTTTTTTTTTTAAATTTTCTTTTTTTTAAAAATTTATTTATTAAAGATTTCTGCCTCCTCCCACCACCGCCTCCCATTTCCCTCCCCCTCCCCCGATCAAGTTCCCCTCCCTCATCAGCTCGAAGAGCAATCAGGGTTCCCTGACGTGTGGGAAGTCCAAGCTGGCCTGGGTCTGAAAAAGCATGGGATAAAACCGGACTTGCTGAACATAGCGGACAATGAGGACTACTGAGGACTCAAGAACAATGGCAATGGGTTTTTGATCCTACTGCACATACTGGCTTTGGGGGAGCCTAGGCAGTTTGGATGCTCACCTTACTAGACCTGAGCTTTTTTTATTGCCAGCCCTCAGGCCACAGGCTGGCCTCCACAAACACCGAATGCTCAGGAACTAGACTGTTGGAATTTCCGGACTAGGCTTCGGTTCACCTCCCCTCTGTGTCCTTGGTCCGTCTTCTCCCATCCTTCCCAATGTGCTGTACTCTTCAGTTTAGGAAACTGAGTCTCCAGGGAGCTAGGAAGCTGCCTTGGTATCAGAATTTGAATCCAGAATTGTGTGGTGCCAAAGCTCACCTCCCGCCATGTTGGGGTGCTCAACTAAAGTTTTGTATTGATGATGAGACTCCAAACGCCTGCCTGCCTTTCTGTGAAGTTGAAAAGAGGGACCCCTGAATTTGATGTCTGTGCTCTGTAGGGGTCAGAGGGACAGACAGAGGGGCTCAGAGGTCCTGAGACCCAGTAACTCTGGGTACAGACCTTGCTTGGACACCAAAATGGGTGGAATCCCCACTGCTAAACTGTTTTTGCAAATACCTGCTATGTGCTGGCTCCATTAACAGAGATGGGTAGTGTTTACAAATGGTAAAGATTATTTTGCCATAAACTGTTCACCTGACCCCAGACAAGAGGACTGATGGTCCCCAGGCCAGGCGAGAGCTGCCTGCTATGGGTACTCAGAGGGGCCATGATGAATGCCAATCTTTCCTTCCTTTCTTTCTTTCTTTCTTTCTTCCTTCCTTCCTTCCTTCCTTCCTTCCATCTTCTCTTCTTTTCTTTTCTTTCTTTTTTTTAAAAAAGAAAACACTTTCTTTTTTTCATTTTACATACTGATCCCAGTTTCCACTCCCTCTACCTATCCCTTTACTCCACCTTCCTCATCCACTCCTTGGAGAGGATGAGGCACATTGCTTTTGGGGAAGGTCCAAGGCCCTCCCTACTATATCTAGGCTGAGCAAGGTAGCCATCCAAAGAGAATAGGTTCCAGTACAAGCAGTAGGGGATAAATCCTGGTGCCACTGCCAGTGGCCCCATAGTCTGCCCCAGCCATGCAACTGTCACCCACATTCAGAGGGTCTATGTTTGGACCTATGCTGTTTCCTTCCTGTCCGGAGGAGTTGGTGAGCTCCTATTAGCTCAGGTAAACTGTTTCAGTGGGTGTACCCATCATGGTCTTGACCTCTTTGCTCATATTCTCACTCCTCCCACTCTTCAGCTATACTTTGGGAGCTCAGTTCAGTGCCCAATGCAGGTCTCCACCTCTGTTTCCATCAGTTTCTGGATGAAGGTTCCATGGTGATATGTAAGATATTCATCAGTCATTCATCAGATATTCAACAGGACAAGGCCATTTCAGGTACCCTCTCCTCTATTGCTTAGGATCCTAGCTGGGGTCATCCCTGTGGATTCCTGAGAATTTCTCTCATGCCAGGTTTCTTACTAGCCCCATAAGGGCTCCCTCAATCAAAATATCTCTTTCCTTGCTCTCATCTCTGTCCTTCCTCCATCTCGACTATCCCATTCCCTCAAGTTCTTCTCCCCCTCCCCCTTCTCCCCTCATCTCCCCTTCCTGCCCTCTCTACTCCCACCAGCCCCATGCTCCCAATTTTGTCAGTTTTGTCTGTCTCCCCTTTCCAGGTGGATATATGTATGTTTTTCTTAGGGTTCATCTTGTTAACTTAGCTTCTCTAGGATCATGAACTATAGGCTCAATATCCTTTGCTTTACAGCTAGTACCCATTTATGAGTGAGTACATACCATGTTCATTTTTCTAGGCCTCAGTTGCCTCACTCAGGATGGTTTTTTTCTAGTTCCATCCATTTTCATGCAAATTTCAACATGTAGAAGAATGAAAATAGATCCATATCTATCCCTATGCACAAAACTGAAGTCCAAATAGATTAAAGACCTCAATCTAAATCTGACCACTCTGAGCCTGATAGAAGAGAAAGTGGGAAGTAGTCTTCAATGCATGGGCACAAGAGACCACTTCCCAAATATAACACTAGTAGCACAGACCCTGAGAGCAATAATAAATAAATGGGACCTCCTGAAACTGAGAAGCTTCTGCAAAGCAAAGGACGCAGTCAATAAGACAAAAAGGCATCCTACAGAATGGGAGAAGATCTTCACCAACCCCACATCAGACAGAGGACTGATCTCCAAAATATATAAAGAACTCAAGAAATTAGACATCAAAATTCCAAATAACTCAATTTAAAAAATGGGTACAGAACTAAACAGAGAATTATCAACAGAAGAATTTCAAATGGCTGAAAGACACTTAAGGAAATGTTCAACATCCTTAGCTATCAGGGAAATGCAAATCAAAACAACTCAGAGATACCATCTTACAGCAGTCAGATGGCTAAGATCAAAAACACCAATGATAGCTTAAGATGGAGAGGATGTAGAGTAAGGGGAACACTCTTCCATTGCTGGTGGGAATGCAAACTTGTATAATCATAAATCAGTATGGTGGTTTCTCAGAAATTAGGAATCCATTTACCTCAGGGCCCAGCAATTCCACTCTTGGGCATATACCCAAAATATGCTCAATCATACTACAAGGACATTTGTTCAACTATGTTCATAGCAGCATTATTTGTAATAGCCAGAACATGGAAACAACCTAGATGCCCCTCAACTGAAGAATGGATAAAGAAAGTGTGGCACATTTACACATTAGAGTACTACTCAGTGGTAAAAAATGATGAATACCAATTCTAATTGACAGTAGTTGAGCCTTGAGCCTGCGGGGCTTTCAGAACCTGGTATGTGCACCTTCATTGTGTACCTTGGGATGATAATACAGATACCGCCCTTGGCAGAGCCGTGGAGGTGACGTTTTTTTCTGGAGGTGACAATATGATTAAGCTTGTCTTGTCCTCCTGTCCCAGTAGGTTGGGGCCCCTCTGTCTCATACGCAGCTTTAGGGCTTAGGTCTTGACATGTTCAACTCTCCCCTCTCCCCTCTTCACCATCTTGACAGTCTGGTTACGTCCCCAAATTATAAGTTCAGTAGATACATATGTTTTTGAAACAGATTCTCATAATGTAGCTCAGGCTGGCTTCAACCTCTCGGTCCTCCTGCCTCAGCCTCCTGTGTACCCAGGGGTTCCAGGCCAGGAAGGAATTCTGGAAATCCAAGACAGGCCTTCCTGGGCTGTCCAAGGTGACATCAGGAACCAGTTCTCAAAAAGAGGAGAGGTCTTGTGTGTGCCTAGTGCCAGAGCGAAAGGTATAGGGCTGTTTCTGAGGACATGTTTACATTTCTTGTATTGTGGCTGACTATTCCGCTGGAGAGAGCCTTGGAAAAGCAGGTGCCAAAAACCCTCAGTGGGTCAGATGCCATGCGGGGCCACCTTTGCCCTCAGCTCCCACATACACAAACAATATCCACCCCCATTACCATGTGGGCCACCTCTGCCCACAGCCCCTCCCCCCACAAACAATATCCACCCTCGTCACCATGTGGACCACCTTTGCCCACAGCCCCTCCCACACACAAACAATATCCACCCTCATCACCATGTGGCTTCCAGGGGTTTGCAGAGCACCCAGGGAGCCTGGATACCATGGAAGGTCCCTCTCTAGCTCCGTGTGCGGCCTGGGAGAATTTCCTCCAGCATGCATGCTGGGAAGAGCTCCATGCAGTCCAGATCCTCACCTGCAGAGCAGCAGTGCTCCACGGAGGAGAGCCCCAGCCTGGGAGAGAAGGGACCCTCCCCTGGCGCCTACCCTGTCCACCAGGTCCTCTTCTGCTCCCCTCTCTGAGCACATGCTAAGCCTCCCACAGTCAACCCAAATAGCCAAAGGATGATGTGAGAAAGCTCATAGGCCACATCTCGGCCTCGTCTTCACCGGGTATGGAAAGAGAGGTGTCCATGCACATCTGCTTCTCCTAGTGACACCTTGGTGGTTGGGGAAAGCTTCTTCTGGCTTCAGACTCAAGGTTGGGAACATCTGTACTCTATAGGGGAGGCTCCTGCTGGGCAGTCGTAGGGTGTGTGTGTGTGTGTGTGTGTGTGTGTGTGTGTGTGTGTGTGTGTGCAGGGTCGGCTGAGGATGACAGTGTTATCTCATTGCCAGCAGAGCCCTAGAACCCAGGCAGAGACCCCGGTGGAGGCAGAGGCCCTTCTGGGCTCTGCAGCTGGAGCCCAACACATGATATTCTCAGTGGAGTTCAGGAGCATCTAGTAGGTAGGGACAGAAGATCTCCAAATGAGAAGGCCACGCCCCCATCCCTCTGCCCAGAAACCAGGGCACATGGAGATGCTCACGCCCCCTCCTTTTGGTTTTAGGAACCAGGCCATTTAAAGGCGTTCTCTGTGGCCTCTGCCTGGCTTAGTGGAACTAGTCCAGATTGGCTCACAGATTGGAGGATCAGGAGTCTGCTAGCTCTTCCAGAGGCCTCAGAAGGTGCATGCTAAGTAGGAAGTCTGGGCAGACTAGAGCACGGTATGATGGCCACCGCTGACCAGCCAAGCAGCTCCCATGACACCTCTCTGCCGGCAGTGCTGAGTCCTAACAGACACTCACAGAGCACTTACTGAATGCTAGACTCATTCACATGCTTGATCTGCACTAATGTGTTTAACCCTTCCAACAAACCTATGGAGGGATGCCGTTGCTGTACCCATTTTAGAGATGTGGAAACTGAGGCTCAGAGAAGTTGCCTAGATTGCCTGAGTTCACACAGGTAATGCATGGTAGAAAGCTAAGATTCTTGAAGATGTGGCCTCGGCCCCTTAACATGGCCAGTGTCACCTATGAATGGCATGTTTGGTGAGAGAATGGAGTCCCAGAGCCAGCTTCTGCTTTGGGGATAGTTCAGCTTTCTCTGGTTCCAGTGAAGCCCAGAAGGCTTTGGGAACAGTTAGGACAGAGTATGGGGATCAGAGCAGAGAGGGGCTTGGCTCTAGTGCCAGGAGGTGGACAGGCTAAGTCTATTAATAATGAGGACCTTTTATGTCACCATGACCACAAGCTGGCATCTGGGAGCTCTTAAGCCCCGTGAAGTGGGCCATCTTGGATTAAAGCTAGGCAAGACAGACTTCTTGGAAAGCCCAATATGACTTTGAAAGATCTCTGGGAGGAAGTGTAAGGAGGCTTTCCAGCAGCTAGACCACAGAGCCCGTTCTTAAGAGAATGCCTGGGGAGATGCTGACCTAAGGGGCCAGTCAAGGACGATAGTCCCGGCCCCACTGCAATGCAGTCAAAGATGACACTCTCAGCCTCAGTTTCCCTCCCATGAAATAACTGTCTTACCTTCAGTCTAGCTTCTTCGGGAGGCCCTAAGGAGGGACAAGATTTTCTGAGCAGACTCTATACAAAGGATGACACACCAGGGGAGGAAGTGTGGATTTGATCTTGCTTTTCCAAAAGCCACAGTGCCTAGACTCAGCCACCTAGAGTGATTTCCTCTGTGAACAACTTCCGCTACAAGAAAGGGGACCATGCAGAGACTTGACCTTAGTGTAGTTTGTGAGAAGTCCTGGCTGTCTCATGACTCCACTGACCATCCCCTGCCTCCCCTGACTGCTGAGATTTTCAGAGTCTATCCAAAGGTCTTTGAGACAGTCACAAAATACCATGCCTGTTCATCTTGTCTTTGGAGAGGCTCTGGGGGTGCTTGAGAAGGCAGAAGCAATCAATCCTTGAGATTTTGAATATGGCCATAAATGTCTAGTTTAGATCATTCGTTCGGGTACCTCTGGGGACATAGGAGGTGTCTGAGCTATGTGCAGCTCGAGTCTTCTTTACCCAAGAGACAGCAGTATAGTGGTGTGAAACACAGATTGAACAGCCCAGCCCAAGAGGTTGTAGACTAGAGGGTGGAGGCCAGAGACACCCCCTGAATGACTCAGAGAGGAAAGAGGACTTCAGCCAGGTGGGGAGATAGCACTGTGATTTTACACTCTTGGCAAGTGGGTTAGACCCTTTCCAGTACCTTCCTCCTAGCCTTCCTGATCCCTGTGCACATAACAGGAATGGATCCTGGGTTCTGTGGCCTCTGAAATGAGCTTCAGAAGTTCAATGAAAACCGCTAAAGAACCCCTGCTATGTACTAGCTCAGCTTGGGACTTCATTACCACCACCACAACCATCGCCACAATCATTGTCACCACCACTATCAACACAACCGTGACCACTGCTATTATACCCCACCATCACTGTTTCCATCTGCCCCCACCGTCATTAGTACCACAACTATTACCTCTATCATCACTCTACCATCACCACCAGCGTCTCCACCTCCTTCTCTACCATCACCATCACCACCTCCTCCTCCATCATCATCACCACCAGCGTCTCCACCTCCTCCCCCACCATCACCATCACCACCACCTCCTCCATCATCATCACCATCACCACCTCCTCCTCCACCATCATCACCATCACCACCACCTCCTCCACCATCCCTTCACCACCAGCATCTCCACCTTCTCCTCCACCATCATCACTATCATCACTACCAGCATCTCCATCATCACCACTGGAACTATCACCACTATTTTCTCTGCCATCACCACCTTCTTCACATTATCACTACTACCATAACCTCCAAAATCCCACCACCTCCTTCACTATCGTTGTCACAACAGCCATCAGCAACATCTCCTCTACCATCTGCAACCACCACCACCATCCCTTCTGCCACCACCAACTTTGCTAACACCTCTACCCCCGTTATCGTCACCAGCAGAATCACCTGTACCGTCACTCCCGTCACCAGCCAGCCTGACTAATGCCGCCCACCGCCCTGACCATTCATTCATTCACCACATTTACCGTTACTTTGAACACACAGAGGCAGGATGCGAAGTCCAACTACTAATGCTGCTTCTTGTGAACCACCTGCTCCCAAAGGGATCAATCAGAGCATGGTCATACTAGGCTGACCACACACTTTGGGTTGTCCATAACAGTTCCAATTCGAACTTGTCCCTGTCTCCTCTTTCCTTGTCAATAGGCCCGTGCATACTAAATTATACGGTCATCCTAGCTAAGATTCTACGTGGCTTCTGATTGACCCCACAGGCTGCTAACCTGGACTCTGACTCGGAGGTGGCACTATCACAGTTGCTGCCCCTAACAATCTCCTTGTTCCCCTCCCTCCCTCCCTTTCTAGGAAACCACTGAGAAAAGATGAAAACGGCACCAGTGTTGCAGAATATCCCATGAGCTCGTCCCAGAGTGGCAAAGGGGTGGACGTGAACACTGCGGTGGTGTGAATCTGCAGGCCCTGGACCCACTGGCTGGAAGGGCACCTTGGTGGCACTGGTGGACATGGGGTGACTCTGGGCCTGTCCATGACTTCCTGCTTTACAGGCATCGGGCCTCCTGAGAGAGAAAGCATCCTCTTCCCAGGGTAGCCCTGGTCAACTTCCGGGGTGCAGCACAGACACCAGGCTTGAGCCAGGCTCCCCTGCATGTGGCCCCTGAGCATCAGCACCACCCAGGGCTCTCCATACCTTCCTTTTTGTCTTGTCTTGGGCACATCGACTCTCACCCAGTTGCTACTAAGAGCACGTACTCCGGTGAACGTCGAGGGTCTGTCTGTCTTCCTGGGGCAGAAAGACACCCCTCTTTAGCCAGAAGAAAGGTGATTCAGGGATTGCTCCCATTCCGGAAGCTTCCTCTCATCCAGGAAGCCCACCTACTTCTCTGTGGACATTCTAGCAAAAGCCATCACACAGCCATGAGACAAATGTCCCCTTCCAAAGGTGCTTCCCACACATCTGTCCACAACTGTACCTGCCATGGTCTTCCGCCTCCAGAGCCTGCGCCACCCTCCCTGGCCCACTCACAGCCTAGCCTGTGGCTCTTGGTTGCATGCCTGCTTTGGGAATTGGTAGGCCCAGCCTGCCTAGTCCCCTGGGAGTGGACTCGGTGTCTCCCAGAAGCCCAGACTGAGAGTGTCCCAAGAAAGTCAGGGGTTCCCTTTGTACCTGCTCTGACACCCCACACCTGGCTCTTCAGGAAGCGTCAGTGTGAGCCAGGCTCTGCCTCACTGGTCAGAGGTTACAGCTTGTGCCAAAACCATGTGGGCACTCTGTGCCAGGCTAGTGTGGGTCTGGTACCATGTGCCTCCCTTACCCACAACAGTCCCTGAAACCTAAATTTGGTACTCAGAAAGCTCCCAGGAGAAGGTGGTGTTCTTCTGTGCCTCCAGGAAGTGACTTTCTGTGGGCCAGGGCTCCTTTCTGTGGGAGCGAGGGAGAGTGGTGAAGAGCCATCTAGCCTTGGTAACCCTCTGCCCACAGGCTGGTTTCCCTGGAGGCCACCCACACAGTGAAGTCAACATCCCTTGCCTAGAAGGAAGCTGGCCTGCTAGAGGGCGACGCCCCCACAGTGTAGAGATTTAGTTGAGTTCATTAGCCTCCTCCTCACCCCACAGAGATCTTCTCTGGAGGATGTTTGTGCCACATGAGAATTTCAAAGCCAGGTAAAACTGAGGGACAAGAAAATCAGTCCCATGTGGCTAGGCGTCCTGAGGCTGCCACTGCCCTGCTCCTAAGTCTATCAACAGGCTCAGGCTAAGGGGAGGTAGGGGCATTCCTCCTGTACATGGCATTTGCCCTCCTTTGCTTGAGGACATGGTTTGGGGTTGGGTTTGAATTTCCCCTTCACAGCATACCTTGGCTCTGGCGTGGGGTTGCCAAGAACCTTCTGTGGGACTGCCCTCACTCCACCCAGGGAGACACCTGGCAGTCCTCTTTGGATGTAGTTCCAAGTAACGAAGAAGCCAGAGGAGGTGGGTAAGGGACAGGCAAACAGGAGTGAGAAGCCTGGCAGACTCCATCCCAGTACCGTGTCTCTTACCCTTTCTATCTATCTATCTATCTATCTATCTATCTATCTATCTATCTATATCTCATACACATAAACACACCACCACCACCACCTTGATCTAAACTGAGAATAGGGCCACAGAACCCTGGCTCCCGTGCCTGCAGCTGACACTGGACAGATAGGAGGACTGGTCTAGTTGTAAACACACACTCTCTGGAGCCTCACGGGAGAGCATAACACCCCACTCCCACCTTGGGCTCCCAAGAGTAAAGAAGGGACATTTGTAGCTGGAGGGGAGCTCTCTGCCAGGGGACATGAAGGACTGAGCAGACCCTGAGATTTCCATGCACCCACGTCCTGACCTTGGCTGAAACCTAGGAAGCCCACAGTGTGTGTACTATTAGCCAGCAGGGACCAAGGCTGAGTTTTCGCTGTGCTTGGCTAGTGTGCATGTAAATTCTCTCTAGTGGGCTTGCATAACCTCACTCCACAGTTAGGGGAAGCCAAAGGAGGGGCCTAGGTTTTAGAAGGGCATCCCTAGAGAACAGCATCCCCAAGCCCAGGACAGGCCGTTTAGAGGGTGCATTTCTCATCACAACAGAAGCCACCAGTTTTTAAACCCAAACGGCTGAAACGTGATCCTGTCAACTGAGAGCGTGGACTTAGAACATCATTTCACAGGGCCCACGGCAACTCCACTAAGACCCTGTCCGTCGAGCAGCCTGAATGCCGAAGTCAGGTGAAGTGTCCATGCCCACCTGTTTCCCCAGATGCTTTCCACTGTGGTCAAGTTGTGTCAGAACTCAGCGGCATTTAGGTTCTCCCAGTTACCAGGTGTTTCTACAAAGCCTTCTCGAGGACATGTGGATGGAAGAATAATAGATGTAAAAAATAGGAATATTATATATAGTTATATATATATTTAAAGAGATAGCTATCTATACAAATATATATATATAAATACTGTATTCCAATCTGTACAAATATGACCTAAACAGCCTAGGTAGTGTGAGATCTGCATTGCATGAATGTAAATACCTTGAACTCTGAACTTTGCCTTCTTAGCAATGCGTGTGTATGGGAGGTGACTGTGCCGCTGGTGTTCTGTCTTGGTGGGCAGACGCACACGTCAAGACTCAGTAGCCCCTTCCTTGCAAGGAAGGAAGCATTGAGATTTTTTTATTGTCAATAAAAATATACTTATAAATATGGTTGTCACTGTGGTCTGTGGTGGGTGCTTGGCCCTGAACATGCATGAGAAGGAGTGGGCGTATTGATGTGACCCCACGGAAGCCTGGGCACTTGGAAGGTACTTCATTTCTATTGGTTATCCTAAAGTCACAGAATTATGTTTTTATTTAATTCATTTTTGAAGAAGTGTGTGTGTGTGTGTGTGTGTGTGTGTGTGTGTGTGTGTGTGTGTATCATGTGTGTGACTGGTGCCTTTGGAGGTCTGAAGATCCCCTGGAACTGAGGTTATAGATGGTTGTAAACTACTTGATGTGGATGCTGAGACCAAACCTGCGTCCTTTATAAGAGCAGCAAGTGCTTTTAAAGCAGCGCCATCTCTCCAGCCCCAAGGCATTAGATAGATAGATAGATAGATAGATAGATAGATAGATAGATAGAGATAGATAAATAGGCAGGCATGGGGAGAAAGGGTTTATTTCATCTTACAGCTTTTGTGGCCCATTATGAAAGGAAGCCAGGGTATGGAATGGAACAGAGACTGGGGAGGAATGCTGCTTACTGGCCTGCCCAGCCTGCTTTCTTATAAAAGCCAGGGACACCTTCCCAGGGGCATCACTGTCCATGGTATGCTGGGTCCTCCCACATCAATCAATAACCAGAAAAAATGGGGCTAGAGAGATAGCATAGTAATTAAGAGCACTGGCTGCTCTCGTGGAGACCTGGGTTTGGTTCTCAGCACCTACATAGCAGCTCACAACTGTCTATAACTTCATTCCAGAGGATCTTCTGGCCTCCACAGACACTGTACATGCATGGTGTCCATACATAAATGCAGGCAAAACACTCACACACATAAAATAAAAAATAAATACAATATTTTAAAAGTAAAAATTTGCCACAGAATTTGCCATAAATCTGATGGAGGTGGTAGCCAATTGAGATTCCCTTTCCCCGATAACTCTAGCTTGTATCAAGTGGACAAAGAAACTACCCGGCACAAACATCTATTTTCTTTCCTCCATGAGGACGTGAATGTTCTAGATGGAGGACTAACTCACTGTTTCTAGAACGTCATCAGCAAAGTTCTGGGTTGACCAGATCATACCATGTCCAGGGGATGGGTTTTTAAATGTGCATGACAAAAGTTGGAGAGAGGAAGAAGTGGGGATATATGACTGGTGCTCCCTTGAGACACAAAGCTGATTCAGGGTCAGTGTGTGGGAACATCTGGAAGCAGATGTTATGGGAGACTGGCAAGAACAGGCAGCAGGTCTCCAGGGCCCGAGATCCTAAGCAAGGCTTATATTTCTAAGACCAGTCCTGTCCCTCATCCTCTCACCCCCTACCTCCATCTAAACTGAGACTAGCACCACGAACCTTTCCAATTTGCCTGGGTGGAACCAGTTCAGAACGAGGTCTTCCAAGACTCACACTGGGAAGGCTCCAGGAGTGTGATCTGACTACTCTGGACACACTGGAGGAGTGGGGTTGGACCTGTAGCCAGCGTCCTAGCACATCCATCCCTGCCTGAACACCAGTACCCAATTCCCTGGCCTGACATCCGCTCCAGCAGAGGGACTTCAGGAAGAGCAAGGCTACCTCAGATTGTCCTAAGCCTGGAGGCAGTATAGCAGGAGACACTGAGAGCTGCACATAAATCCAGACCCCACTAGGGAAACTTCTCTAAGCTTTCATCTTTTCGTGGATGAGTGGAGTCCTTGCACATGTGCCGTGAGGGATGCTGGGAGAGAGAATGCCACTATCCTCATCTTTAGGGTCAAAAGATGGATGTGAGAAGGGACTTGATGGCACCCTACATGGAGACCAGCCAACAAGGATGTGGCTGGGTTTGGAACCCAAGCCTTCAGCACTGACCTCTGCTAATGGCTGAAGTGACCCCTAACATAGACCGTCTCCCCATCACTGAGTCACACCTGCATCTCTCTAGTCCCATCAGGTTCCCAATCTTAAGCCACTTCAGTAAGGGGGCACAAAAGAGCCTCCTTGTCCTGAACCGGGGTTGGGTGGCTCCCAGATGGCTCCCAGCCTAGGAGGTTGTCAGCTTAGGATAAGTTTGGACAAGGATCCCCATTTTAGGCACCAGGAAAATGAGAGGAGCTGTGGAGATCCCTGCTGAGCTAGAGATATTTTTCTCCATATATATCTCATTGGGAACTCCCATTTACAAGTAGGTGCAGAGTGCAAGGGCCATTGTTACAGTTACTGTCAATATCAATATCATAGTCAATAAAAATACCCAGACTACCCAGGCTTTTTTCTTGGCCTCTCTACTTAGTAGAAACACCTCAAGCTTCACGCACATTCCTACGCACCACAGCCACAATGCTGGGACCAGCAGAGGACAAGGCAGAGAGTAGCCAGCCTGTATATAAGGTTCTGTCCTTTTGTCCCAGGAATAGGGTTCCAAGGCCAGACTGGGAGACTCATCCCAGGGGTCACATCTCCAGCCCAGCTCTCCTCTCTGGGGTCTTCCTTGCTGATTTCAGCTCCAGCGACCAGCACAGTACACTGCTCTCTCCAATCCGACAGCAACAGTCCTGTGAGAGTCGCCCACCTGCGACCAGCGAGCACGATACACAGTGGCACCCACAGGGTACCTGGCCTGGCAGCTGGAGAAGAGGCAGAAAGCCACTCTTTCTTCCTCCTTCCTTCCCTAAACACACTGTGGGACACCTGGAAATCTGTCCTGCCCCATGGCTGCAGCCCAGCTAGTCCCCTTACTATACGCCACCATGCCTGACTAATGCCACAGCCCAAACCTCAGGTCACAGGGCCTCTGGCAGCTAGCTCCCTTGATGGGTCACCTGCAAGGCTGTGTCTGTCCCAACAGTCAGTCAGGCCCCACCCCTCTCTCCCATAGTTGGGCGGGGCACTTTCCAAGCCCTGCCCCCCTTACCACTGGGGTCCCTGAATAGGTGTCATCCTTCTCCCCTCTCTCTTCCCTCTCTCCCCAGAGAAAGGTACTCAGGCAGCATGCCGAACACAGACCTAGCTTCCCTCCAATCCATCCATTGGCTACAGTGACTCCTTCCCTGGCCTTGGTCTTCAGTTTTGCTGCCCTGAGCCCTGCTCTCCTGCTCCTGCCTCCACCACTCTCTCCCACCCCTAGCTGGGTAGACTGCATATTACCCTCACTCCTTGGCCGGTCCTTGTCATCCTTGGTTCTGGCTTGCCTCTCCCTCCCAGAGGCTGCCTCTCTCTCTGTCACAGAGCCAGTTACAGGCCCCTCTAGCCTATGTGTAGCTCAAACTCCCTGTTCTCCCCTGTGGGTGTGACATCTCACACTATACCCTGCCATGCGACCCTGTAAGCCTCTCAAGACTCTTGACCCACCCATACCCATGCTGTGCCCTGGGGATACAGAGAGGAACAGGCAGGGCCCCTGTCCCTTAGGAGCCAGCTGATGGTGACAGTGGATTGGTAATTTGCATGCAGACAGCCGGTGATGAGGCTATGGAGGCAAGGGACAGCCAGGATGGGCTTTGCAGCACTTCTACACCTCCCCTTAAGCCTAGGAGGTACCCCTCTTTTATAGGGGCAAACTAAGCTTCAGGAATGTTAAGGGGCTACCAGGGCTCAGACAAACAGCAAGAGAGCAGAGCTGCAGTTGAGACCCAACTCTGCATCATCCTAAGTTTCAATTCTTCCAAGTTAAATGAGTACACAGATTTCATAGGGCCCGCTACACACACACACACACACACACACACACACACACACACACACACACACACATTTCTTAAGACCTTAGGAAAGCGGCAAATCTTTTAGCCATCCCAGCCTCTGGAAGCTGGAGCTAACTAACAAAGATCTCTATGCAGGTGAACTTGGGCCAGGCTCATCCCCATCAGAGCAATGGTTTTCTCACCTGAATGGGGAGAATATGCTCTGGTAGACGCTTTCTCTCATTACTCATGACTTCTTCTAGCCACCACTACTTCTCTCCATCCTATCACCTTAAACTAGCAATACTGTCCACATGAGAAAAATTGCTAGTTTGTGTGCATGCTTCCTGCTCTGCCCCCATTAGAAGAAGGACATACAGGGACCTTCTTTGGGTTCAGGTCTTACTCATTACCAAATCTCCAGCCCTCCAAACATCCTAACATGCAAGACATTGGAAATATTTGTTAAGTTAACTGGTACATAGTGGTTTACAAATTTAACACAGTATACATGGACATAAAGAAGAAAACATTGTTTCTTTATTTTACTTTACATACCAATCACAGTTTTCTTTCCCTCCTCTCCTCCCACTCCCTCCCCACAACCTCCTTCCCCATCCACTCCTCTGTCTCCATTCAGATGGGGTAAGGTCTCCCTTGGGAATCAACAAAGCATGACATATCAAGTTGACGCAGAACCATGCTCCCTCCCACCACATCAAGGCTGCACAAGGACCCCCTCATAGGGAATGGGTTTCAAAGAACCAGTTCGTACATCAGGGACAGGTCCTGGTCCCACTTCTAGAGGCCTCACAAAGACCAAGCTCCCTAGCTGTCGGTCCAAAGTCTGTGAGCTACCACAAGCTCAGGTCAGCTGTCTGTGGGTTTTTCTGTCATGACCTTGAGCCTCGCCCTGCCCCCACCCCCTTGAGAGCACTTTATTTTGTATAAAGGCTCACAGCACACAATTGGGTGTAGTCACACCTGTATTTACACTTGGTGATATTTTGTCCACTTCGCTAGTGTCATTCAGACATCTTAGTTTCCTGTGGCTAGACACTGTGGTATTACTCCAAAGGCCACTTCCCTCTTGAAGGCCCCAACCTGCCACTGAGCAGGCAATGGCGGTCATGGATACACAGCAGCTGACCGTAGACCCAAGGTTTTTTCTCAGTGGTCTCCATTTTCCGCTGCAGAAGAGCTGGCTCGGCTGCTTCTTGGGCTGACCAGGCTATGCCTGGCTCTTCTAGCCCTTGGGGTCACTAGCTGCCCCAGTGCTTGTGCTATAAGCATCCTCCTGGTGTGTCTTATTTTCTTAGCTCC